GTAATCAAAAAACTACCCAAGAACAAAACCCCGGGGCCGGACGGATTTACCTCGGAATTTTATCAGACACACAGAGAAGACATAATACCCATTCTCCTTAAAGTGTTCCACAAAATAGAAGAAGAGGGAATACTCCCAAACTCATTCTATGAAGCCAACATCACCCTAATACCAAAACCAGGCAAAGACCCCACCAAAAAAGAAAATTACAGACCAATATCCCTGATGAACGTAGACGCAAAAATACTCAACAAAATATTAGCAAACTGAATTCAAAAATACATCAAAAGGATCATACACCATGACTAAGTGGGATTCATCCCAGGGATGCAAGGATGGTACAACATTCGAAAATCTATCAACATCATCCACCATATCAATAAAAAGAAGGACAAAAACCACATAATCATCTCCATAGATGCGGAAAAAGCATTTGACAAAATTCAACATCCATTCATGATAAAAGCTCTCAACAAAATGGGCATAGAGGGCAAGTACCTCAACATAATAAGGGCCGTATATGATAAACCCACAGCTAACATCATACTGAACAGCGAGAGGCTGAAAGCTTTTCCTCTGAGTTTGGGAACCAGACAGGGATGCCCACTTTCCCCACTGTTATTCAACATAGTACTGGAGGTCCTAGCCACGGCAATTAGACAAAACAAAGAAATACAAGGAATCCAGATTGGTAAAGAAGAAGTTAAGCTGTCACTATTTGAAGATGACATGATACTTACTATACATAAAAAACCCTAAAGACTCCACTCAAAAACTACTAGAACTGATATCGGAATTGAGAAAAGGTGCACGATACAAAATTAACGCACAGAAATATGTGGCTTTCCTATACACTAGGAATTAACTAATAGAAAGAGAAATCAGGAAAACAATTCCATTCACAATTGCATCCAAAAGAGTAAAATACATAGGAATAAACCTAACCATGGAAGTGAAAGACCTATATCCTGAAAATTATAAGACACTCTTAAGAGAAATTAAAGAGGACACTAACAAATGGAAACTCACCCCATGCTCCTGTCTAGGAAGAATTAATATCGTCAAAATGGCCTTAATGCCCATAGCAATATACAGATTCGATGCCATTCCTATCAAATTACCAACAGCATTCTTGAACTGGAATAAATAGTTCAAAAATTCATATGGAACCACCAAAGGCCCCAAATAGCCAAAGCAATCCTGAGAAGGAAGAATAAAGTGGGGGGAATCTTGCTCCCCAACTTCAAGCTCTACTACAAAGCCACAGTAATCAAGACAATTTGGTACTGGTACAAGAACCGAGCCACAGACCAGTGGAACAGAAAAGAGACTCCAAACATTAACCCAAACATATATGGCCAATTAATAAATGATAAAGGAGACATGGACATACAACGGGGAAATGACAGTCTCTTCAACATATGGTGCTTGCAAAACTGGACAGCTACATCTAAGAGAATGAAACTGGATCACTATCTAACCCCATACACAAAAGTAAATTCAAAATGGATCAAAGACCTGAATGTAAGTCATGAAACCATAAAACTCTTAGAAAAAACATAGGCAAAAATCTCTTGGACATAAACATGAGTGACTTCTTCATGAACATATCTCCCCCGGGCAAGGGAAACAAAAGCAAAAATGAACAAGTGGGACTACATCAAGCTTAAAAGCTTCTGTACAGCAAAGGACACCATCAATAGAACAAAAAGGTGTCCTACAGTATGGGAGAATATATTCATAAATGACAGATCCAATAAAGGATTGACATCCAAAATATATAAAGAGCTCACACACCTCAACAAAGAAAAAGCAAATAATCCAAGTAAAAAAATGGGCAGAGGAGCTGAATAGACAGTTCTCTAAAGAAGAAACTCAGATGGCCAACAGACACATGAAAAGATGCTCCACATTGCTTGTCATGAGAGAAATGCAAATTAAAACAACAATGAGATATGACCTCACACCAGTAAGGATCGCCATCATCGAAAAGACAAACAACAACAAATGTTGGCGAGGCTGTGGAGAATGGGGAACCCTTGTACACTGCTGATGGGACTGTAAATTAGCTCAACCAATGTGGAAACAGTATGGAGGTTCCTCAAAATGCTCAAAATAGAAATACCATTTGACCCAGGAATTCCACTTCTAGGAATTTACCCTAAGAATGCAGCACTCCAGTTTGAAAAAGACAGATGCACCCCTATGTTTATCACTGCACTATTTACAATAGACAAGATACGGAAGCAATCTAAATGTCCATCAGTAGATGAATGGATAAAGAAGATGTGGTACATATACACAATGGAATATTACACAGCCATAAAAAAACAGATCCTACCATTCACAACAACATGGATGGAGCTAGAGGGTATTATGCTCAGTGAAATAAGCCAGGCCGAGAAAGACGAGTACCAAATGGTTTCACTCGTATGTGGAGCATAAGAACAAAGGAAAACTGAAGGAAAAAAACAGCAGCAATATCACAGAACCCAAGAATGTACTAATAGTTAGGGAAAGGGACTGGGGACGATGGGTGGGAAGGGAGGGACAAGGGTGGGGAAAAAGAAAGGGGGTCTTACGATTAGCATGTATAGTGTAGGGGAGGCACAGGGAGGGCTGTGCAACACACAGCAGAGAAGTAGTGATTTTACAACATCTTACTACACTGATGGACAGTGACTGTGAAGGGGTATGTTGGGGGGAGGACTTGGTGAAGGGGGAAGCCTATTAAACATAATGTTCTTCATCTAATTGTAGATTAATGATACCAAAATTTTTAAAAAAAGAGCTCTGCCCAGTGCTCTGGGCACGACATGGGGGCAGGGCTGCAAGGCTGCAGGAGAGCAGAGGCTGGAGTGATGGCAGCACCGAGGCCCGAGGCCCAGTGGACAGTTGTGAGAACAGAGGGTCCCAGAGGCAGAGACTGGGTTGCTGCATACAGACTCGCTCTGAGTGAATGGGATTCTAGTGACTGACCTGCCACCTGGAAATAAAGTTGGGTGTAACCCTTTCACCTCCCCCCCAAAAAAACAGGGAAGAAACATCCTTTTCCATAAACCAAAGCAACAGCCATGTTTTCAGTGTATGACATGGGACGCAGACCTGCTAAACAGTGATGGATAATGAAAGAAAATGTGTGCTACATCAGACTTAGAACAGACACAGTTCTCTTCCAGAATGAGTGCCATGGCCCCATAAGGCCTAGCCAGTAATTCTGTCATAGGGAAATGAGTGATAAAGGCATGTTCGGGCCATGGGGACTAAGAGTCACAGGTCACATGGAGCAAAGCCAAGCTGTTGGGAAACCATGCTGACCCATGATCTTTCCAGACGGGCCTCTTAGCTGAGGAATCTGGTCAGAGCAGAAGCAGGGTGGAGCGGAAGTCAGAGGACATACGGAGAGCATGTAACTCAGACACCAGCCTCTTAAAAGCAAAGGAAGTAAAATATTTGATGAGAGGATGTTTGCAACTACACATCTAATTAGAAACTGAGAAGTAGTTCTATAATTTTCTATAAATGCATAAAAAGGTTTGATACTTGAATTAACTGCTCCACAGGAGAATAGGCTAACTTGTGAGTGACCCTGGAGAGGCTACTTTTCAAAGCTGTGAGAATGTTTTTCTTATATACGTTTGGGGAACTAAGGAAGCCCAAGACATAAATAAGGTGGCCAACTCAACCTGGTTTTCCCAGGACTCTCCAGGGTCTGGAACTGAGTCCTGCATCCTGAGAAGCCCCTCACAGTTGGTCATCCTAGGAAGGAACTACAATTCCTCCAATATTCTTCAGGAAAGGGTATCCTAAAGGTAGTATTATCATTTCATTTGGAAACTACACTAGGAAAGAGGAATTAATCAAGAGAATATGTGTTGGGGAAAAGGTGGGACTCNCCTTCCGTTTACGGCCAAATAACATCCCATTGTATGCAAATGCCACATTTTGCTTTGTCAATTACCAATTCATCTGTCCACAGACACTTGGGTTGCTTCCACATTTTGGCTATCATGAATTTATTTTTATTTTAAAATCAGGTGTTTTGTTGTGTTTCAGGGCAAGAAGTTGCCATATCATCTTGGGGATGATGCAGAGGAAGGGGAAGTCTCCGATGAAGATAGTGCAGATGAAATTGAAGATGAGTGCAAGTTCAAGCTCCACTATGTAAGTTACAGGCATGGCCGTCGTTTGTACCCTCCCTGTGCTGCAGTAAAAGATGGGGCTGTGTGGCATCCTCCCAATAAACTGGCTATGATGTGAAAAGGATACTTAACTGAAAATTACTTTGTGTGCTGGCACACACACACTCAAATGTTTGAGTGAATGAGTTGAGGATTCTTGTGTCTTAGAGTTAGAAGAATGTTAGTGGTTAACCCATCTGACCCTCTCTCTGGGGACACATCCGCTCCTATTATAACTTGGTCAGAACTCAAATAGTGGTTGGAAATGTCACTGACTTTGATGAAATAAACTGGTCTAGCATCATTTCCCCTGCTTGCTGCTAGCAGCCCCTCTGTGCTGTCTGCCAAGGCTGGCTCACACAACCCGGTCTGCTTCATTAGGATGCCTGTCCCTCTGTAAGGAAATGTACCCTGGAGCAGAGGATTGCCAAGCTCTTCCAGACACACATGCAACTCTTGACTAAATCTTTAATTTGACACATCTTATATAAAAAGGTGTACAATAGTTTGTCATCTGTATGGTGCTTCAGACCCCTATCCTAAATTAAACAGCTGATTTGTAGAAAAGCACCATTTAGTCACTTAATCCAGAAGAAATACAAACCTGGTGGCCACGTAAAGTTTAAAGAGGAACCTCCTTCACGGGGGACTAGGATTTCTCACCCTCCTTCACTGCTGCCACCTTCTACAACTCATTGTCAGGGGCACAGGACAATCTGAGTGTAGAGCTGTGGACAAACTGAAGGTTCCTCACCTGGATTCTCACCTGGCCCTGGCTGGCTTGCTCACTACACATGTGTGGACAATACATCATTACTGACTCTATATAAAGAGCCCTGCCCAGTGCTCTGCGCTACACGGTGGGGTAGTTGAAAGGCTGCAGGAGAGCAGAGCAGAGGCTGAAGTGGTGGCAGCGCCAAGGACAGAGACTGGGATGGCTGTGCGGGCAGAGGCCCAGAGGCAGAGACTGGCTTGCTGCATGCAGACTCGCTCTGAGTGAATGGGATTCTAGTGACTAACGTGCCACTGTGGAAATAAAGTTGGGTATAACCCTTTCACCCCAAGAATGTTCTACTGTCATTTCTTTGGTCAAAACTGAATCCATAGTGAACTTGCCTGGGGCTGAAACCCATTGGCAAGACAAGCACCCACTTATGTTAGTTTGTTAAAGGGTTACAATTTCACTGCTAGAGCAAAGCAGGATTCCCCTAGATGTCAGGACTATTATTCTGCCCTCTAAACATCAGGAGAAGTTTGTGTAAAATCCTATTTACATTATTGCCCTGAATTCAGTTATTATATAGTTAAAAACGGTTGTCTTGTAGATGATAGTAATCATGACGGCTTCCTTAGGCCCCAAAGGGAGCCACATTACTAGAGAACCGGCAACAGAGTCCGGACAGCCGAAGTCTCAGATGTGTCTGTTTTGGCTTTCATATACTTTAAAAGGGATGAAGTGGAAAAGATTCAGCTTAAAGTGAAATAGAAAAATTACCATCTGTATTAATTAATTAGTAGTTTATTTTAACTCAGTTAAAACCACCAACTAATAGGGCATATGGTCACAGAAAATTCATCCTAACAGATTTCCGTAAGTGAAAATATAGTTAATATTTTAAATAACTTCTTTCTTACACTTCCAGATATTTGTTGTTTTTGTAATTACTTACATATGATCATGGAAATTTAGCTCTGTTTTTCTGGCTTGATTTTATAAACCAGATTTTAATCTCTGATTTTCATTATGTATACTTATATACATATGTGCATACACACACACACACACACACACATATATATTTGATTGCATCTTATTTGCAAAATAAGTTGGTAGCTTCATCATAGTCTATCATTTGAAAGCAGGGAACAGAGAGGCTTGACTAAATTTTGTGCTTAGAGAATGCTGTTTTTTTGCTGAAAATGAGTAGTGGAAACTTAGGTATTGTCCCAGTGTAGTCATTTATTGCTGTGAGTAAGAACCAAGTTCTAGATCCAACTAGTTACATAATTTTTCTTCTAATTTCAATGAGCCTCCTGACTATGATTACTAAAGAGAGTTAGCCATAGTTTTATGGAAACAAATCAGTAATTTCACCTGTAAAAATATCCAATTGGGTTCCTCTCATTTTCAAAATCTTAGTTGGCTTCTAGGAACCCATACAGGTGGGTGGCTTAGAACATAATTACATAAAGATAGGGTATTTCATTTAGATTCTTTGATTTGGGCCTAGGTAAAAGCAGAAAGCCCCTCCCCTTAATTGTAAAGTTTTACAGGTGTCTCTTTGTTACACTTCAGGAGAGAAAATACATAAACCAACATTCTAGTGGAAAGTATCCTTACTTCACTTTCTCAAATCTTTTTTCTCTACTTTGGACCTCTTTTGAGAAAAGGCAATTCTGTACTTAGAAAACCAAAGTGTTATCCTATAATCAGTCAATTTATAGTCCTGTTGTCAGCAGAGGGCTCAAATGCCTTATCTGAGTGTCGAATGTAAATTGCCTCATTTAAAATAAATGCCTGATCATATGTCTGTAGAAAGATTTACTGTGCATAGTTTATGTGCAACCAATAATTGCCTTAGAGGAAGTCTTAACCTCAGTTTTAAGTTAACAGAATGTGGTTAGATTTATAAATTATATTTGAATTATTGTAGTAAAGATTTTAGCGTAGCATTCATGGATACTGTAATAACTCGTGAGGCTTATACAAGATTTGTTTGCACGTTCAGCAAATAGTTATTGAGCATCTTCTGTTACTCAAAAGGGCAGATGAGGCCCTCATATTGAGGGTGTTGGGGCATATATCAGTAAAGAAAACAGACAAAAATCTTTGCCTTCATGAACTTTTACATTAACGGAAGAATGGAAGGATAGACAAGAATAAAACAACTAAGTAACATATATAGCGTACTAGGCAGTGTTAAGTGCAAAAAGAAAAAAGGGAGGGAAGAAATGGAAAAAAGTGTCATGTGTATATATGTGTGCATATGTCAGCATGTGTGGAGGGTCTGTTGAAGTTTTAGATGGGATGCCTGGAAAGGTCTCGCAGTGAAGGTGACATTTGAGCCAAGACCTAGAAGTGAAGAGTTAGCCATGCTGCTCTCAGGAGGAATGTTCCAGTCAGAGGGAGCAGCAACTGTAAAGGTCAGAAGCAGGCTTTGTGGCTCGCCCAGCATCGCTCTGGGGCTGGAAGCAAGACCCTCACACAGTCTTCTTGCTCCTCTGCCTCCTGTCCCTTGTAATTAAGGGATTCAAATCATACCAAAAGTTTTTTGCTTACATCATAAAGGCTTTCTGTTGTTGAATTAATTGAATCCTTTAAGCTTCTGCCTCATTATTTTGTCATTTGAGCCATAGAGAAAAACTGGCCCATGATGTATAAACCACAAGGGAAAACCGGTGTGTTTAGTGACCCAACAAACATGCACCTCAAAGACAAGGGACAGAGTCCTTTCAACCACAGTGCAGTCATCTCACAGATTTGGTCAGTGAGGTCAGCTCACCATTGTTCATCTTTACAGGGTCCTTTCATACAGTGTGCCTTATGGATTCTCCACCCCTGTATTTCAGCTTCACTGATATTTTCCCTTTCCTGCTGAGTTATTCAGTATTTTTTTCTTGTACTCCCTGAATCTATATTCAGCCAGCCTCTTAGGCACAAATATCAGCTATCTCCTACATGGCTCATCCCATAAACATGAAGCCTTCCAACAAGTTTAAATGAGCCCTAGGACAGCGTGTATATCTCACACTACACATACTCATTGTTTTCCTCTCTTCTCACTACTTCAGCTACAAATCCATCTTCTTCCCTTAGTTATTCATTTGATGATTTTTGAGCCATTTTGAGATTCATGGATTTAAGACTTGTCAGCAGTCATAGAAGGGATGAGTGACCTCCTGAGGTTGTGACTGTTACTGAAAGCATACACTCAGACACTCTGCCCACACACTGAACATGCTGTTGCATTCTGGCAGCAAGGAGGGGGAATGGAAAAGGTGACCTGGAAGATCTCTGGAAGATTCTGATTGTTTCTCATACACTGTGCAACTTCTGCCATCCTGCTTAAAGAGTTAAGGTGGTGCATATTTAAGGTCTAACAATGTGTATGTTATATATATGTATATTTTCCCTTGTATTTTAGAGGTGTTGTCTTCTTGGGATTACTATTGCTGAGAAGTCTCCGATCAGTCTATTTTGCTTTCCTTGGTGGTCATCTCTTTCTATCCTCATTGTTCTGTACTTTCACGATTAAATGGCTAGGGATGGACTTATTTTTTTAACACTCAGTATTCATTTCCTACTAGAGAACTCATGTTTTCTTTCATTCTAGAAAATTCTAAGCCATTTTTTTCTTTGATTGTTGTGTATTTTTTCTTTGAGCAAATGTTCTGTTCCATTTCCTCAGCCCTCTTTTTTGAGAAGTCCTGTTGCATTTATGTTGGAATCTGTCCCTTACATCTCTTAATTATTTTTTAATTTTGTTCTTCAATATTTTCTCTATCTCTGTGCTGGCTTCTGGGTACTGTTTATGGTATTAATTTTGAATTCATGAATTTTCTTTTTGTGCCTGGTCTAGAGTTTAACCCAGCCAGCTATTGTTCTTTTAATTCTAATTCTATACTGTTTATTTACAAAATTTATTATTGATTCCTTTTTATGGGTACTTGTTCTTATTTCATTATCTGGCTTCTTAATCTCTTGCTTTCTTGTGATATATTTTTTTCATATATTTGAGCATCTAACTATACTAATTTTAAAGTGAAATTGTGTATTCCCATTCTGTGTGTTGATGTCTTTGCCACTCAGTCTTGGCATTAGTTTTCCAGTTTAAGAATTTTGAGTTAAAGGTTCAATTTTGAATGGAATATTTTTTCCTTCCATTCTCTTTCTGTACTCACCCTTCTTATCTAGTGATTATGGGACTGCTTCCATCTGAACTCCGAGCACTCCCCACACACACCCAGGCCCCACATTCCTAA